ATGGCATTATCCCCACAAAATTGGACTAACAGGTCCCTGATTTCTCTTCCACTCTTGCCAAGTTTAACAAGAAATTTAATGTTTGTTTGTTGCTTTAATTCAAGCTCAGACATTTTCGTGACGGCACACAAAAACACGCAACTACAATAATGAATGCCACTCAGCAAGAAACAGTCACATGTTGACATGAACACAGCTGTGAGACACTGATATACCAAGGTTATGAAACCTTACTAAGCTGTTTGTACAGTGCTGCCAATGTAAGGGAATGGTAGCAAGTTTGCAGACTTGTCAGACCTCGTATATACAATGCAATACTGCTCAGCCTGGGAAGGGAATGGTTCTTGCCATCAGTGGCCATGGACCATAGATGATGGTCCATAGATGGACCTGGAGGGTATTGAAGGTTGTCAGACAGCAAAAGACAGATGCAGTGTGATTTCACTTACATGTGGAATCTAAAGAACAAAATAACAAACAAAACAGAAACAAACTCATAGATAGAGAGAACATTTTGATGGTTGCCAGATAGGGGTTTGGGGATGGGTGAAAAACAGGTAGGGATTAAGAAGTACAAAGTGGTTGTTACAAAGTAGTCATGGGGATGTAGGGTATAGTATAAGGAACATAGTCAATAATATTCTAATTACTATGTATAGTGTCAGATGGGTACCAGATTTATTGGGGTGATAGATGGGGGTGTTGTTGAGGGGTAGGGTAAAAAAGGTGAAGGCATTACGATGTACAAATTGGTAGTTACAAAACAGTCGTGGGAATGTAAAGCATAAGGAATATAGTCAATAAAATGGTAATAAGTATGTATAGTGCCAGATGGGTACTAGACTAGTTAGGGGGATCACTTCTTAAATTATATAAATTTCTAACCACTATACTGTACAACTGAAATTAATATAAACTAATATTGACTGTCAATTGTAATTGATAAATTTAAAAGTGGGGGAAGGTGAAGGGAAATAAGAGGTTCAAATTTCCAGGTATAAAAAAAATTACTAATTGGAATGTAATGTACAGCATAAGGAATATAGTCAGTAATATTGTTATAGCATGGTATGATGTCAGATGGTTGCTGGGCTTATCATGGTGATCACTTCTTTAGGTATATAAATGTTGAATAACTATTGTGTACACTCAAAACTAATATAATATTGTATGTTAGATATATTTTAATAAAAATCTTTTTAAAAATTCATATAGGAAAAACACAAAATTTAAAAATATATGATTATAAATAACAAAACAAAATAGTTATGTGTATATAAATTATAGCATAAGGAATATAGTCAATAATATAGTAATAACTATGTATGGTGTCAGATGGGTACTAGGCTTATTGGGGTGATCACTTCATAAGTTAAATAAATGTCTAATTACTATGTTGTACACTTGAAACTTATATAATGTCGTATGTCAACTGTAGTTTAAAAATTAAAAATTATTTTAAAAAAAGAATTCATGGGGGCGGCCGGTTAGCTTAGTTGGTTAGAGCACAGTGCTCAAAACACCAAGGTTGCCAGTTGGATCCGCACATGGGCCATTGAGATGTGCCCTCCACAACTAGATTGAAACAATTGCTTGACTTGGAGCTGATGGTCCTGGAAAAACACACTGTTCCTCAATTAAAAAAAAAAAAAGAATTCATGAGGCATCAACCTGTTAATAGTAATAATTTTAAAAGCTCAACTGTATTGAGACTTACCATGGGAAACCACTAGCTAAGACTTTATATGCATTCTCTCAATAACCCTATAAGGTTAGATATCATTATACAGTTAGATACCCATTTTCCAGCTGAGGAGCCTGAGGCACAGAAAGGCTATTTGCCCAAGGGCCTACAGCAGGAAGTAGCAGAGTAAGTTTGAAATGCTCTGTGGAGTCTGATCACTGTGCTGTGCTGTCTCCACTTCAGGGTCCCTAATGTCTGTCATCTGGGCTGTGGCTTTAGTTCAAGTAAGTCCTCGTCCTTTCTGTTGCAAGTAACATTAGAGAAGAGACCTGAGGTTGGAGAAGTTCCACACAGCTCCAGGTGATACACAGGCATTATTTCTATTAGCACAAATCCTCCTGAAACCACTGAAAACCATTCTGGTGTGTAAAATCAACCTGCATGTTTTTAATTAAAAAGATATAGAAAACATTCTTCCAAATTGTTTGAGTTAACACTGGTATTATTGAAGCCAAGACTGTATAACCAGCCCCCTAGAAAGACTGCTGCATCCTGATGTCCGAGTGCTTTGTAATCATTACTCTACAAACCAAAAGGAGATAATACCTTTTCTCCAAACAGCACACCAAGCAAAATACTGAGATACTGGCCAGGAGGCAAATCATCCAGAGGAAGCCCTCTCTGCTTCCCTCCCTCCTGAAAGCACTTGGCTGTTCTCGGGAGCCCTAAAACTCATTACTCTCCTGCAGGTGAACAGTAGATGCCAGCAGTAAAAAAAAAAAAAAAGCTGCAGATCCCTGTTCCTGATGAGCACTCTGGACACTTCTAGAAAGTGCTAGCAGCACACTGAGATGTCTGCATGTTTGCACATGATGGGGAAGAAAAGAACTGTGACTCAAGGGATTGGGTAGGTGATGGAAGCTTCGAGTGTGTTTACGGATTGAGGAGACTCAGCGGAGTGGAGATAACAGAAAACATAAGAAGAGAGGAGGGAATTAATAGGAAACGGTATGGGGACAGATGAAAGACTTGTTCCAGTGCTTCAGAGAAAAAATTTACTTGGGGGCTTGGGGAGTGTAAACCAAACAGTATTTCTTTATTAGAGACAAGAAAGAAAATGAGTGGAGATGAGATTTTTTTTTTTTTTTTTTTTAGGTAGAAAGGAAGATACTTATGTCAGATGGCCTCAATTTTCTCAGAAAATGAGCGAGAGGGTTGAGGTTTGGATAAAGAAAGTTTGAGAAGAGTGGAAAACGTTTAGCACAAAAAGTCAAGTAGAAAAGTTTAAAAGGATTGCCAAGTACAAGTGACAGCTGAATGAAGCTCAAAGGGCATGCTGTGTAGTCCAGAGCAGAGGACACCATTGCTACCAAGCTGGGTCAGGCCCTCTGACAATCATCTTCTGACCTGATTCCCACACCTCAACCTTGTCTCCCGGGATTTGTCTAGGCTCCAGACCTTGCCGCAGTCATTCCAACAGCTATCTTTTGCCTGCAAGACAACCTAAGGTCCTCAGCATGACACACAGGCCTTTCCCCATTTGACCCCACTTACCTCCCCAGAATCCTTTTTTGCCTTCTGCTGTAGTGAACAAACTTTAGTTCCCCCAGCCCCAGTCCCAGGCTGTTTCACCCCTTCTGGGTCTTGGATCACACCACTCCCCTGAAATGTTATTTTCCCTTTAATGCCTAGAAAGCAAACATTCGTTTTGTTAAAAAAGGTTACCCCCTCCAAGAAACCTTCTGGTATCACTTGAGGTAAAACCAATCACTCAGTCTCTCCTTTTCCAACTTATCTCTGCCCTGCATATGTTCCTAACATCATATAACACTTTCTATTTCATCAATTCTAAGATTCAGTTTTTCACATTGCAAAAATCTCTGAAATGAAGTTTTATCTTACAGTTGAAGGTGTGTCATAATTTAAAATTGGCAGGATTTTTTATTTCTTAGAAGTACAAAAAAGGTGCATCTTACTCTCAGGAGCATTGGTAAAATGCAGCTTTGTTTTTTTAACACTCTAAGGTGACTGGAGTAGTAAGTACTTCACATCTAGGGGAGACATTCTTGTTTCCCCTCCCCCCACTTACACATTTGGCAATATTTGGTTGTATCAATCGGTGGTGTGTGTGTGTGTGCTGCTGGCATCTAGTGGGTAGAGGCCAGGGATGCTGCTAAGCATCCCATAATATATAAGACAATCCCCCACAATAATTGTACAGTGCAAAATGTCAACAGTGTGGAGGTTGAGAAACCCTAGTGTAGAGTGACAATGCTTATTTGGGTGCATGATATGCTTTATTATGTTTGGATTTTAAATCAGCCTTTTACAATGTATAGTGCAATATAATACAGCAAATTTTTCCCCCAAAACCTTGGCTTGTAGAACAAAAATAGCAATTCTTGAGGAGTGCTCTAAACTTTCTTCACCCCTCGCCCATTTCCTTCTGATAGACTCCCAAGGGGAATGAATGAAGCCATGCTCCAGGTCAAAATTGGAAAGCCAAAAGGTCCCAAAGTGATTTATGACCTTAAGTCAATTAGGTTAATTAATGGCAAGCCCAAGACTGGGACCTAGACCACCAGATTGCCACAATCCCTGGGAGGCAGCTGCTCTGTTTCCTGGCCAACTTGGTCAACATAGTTTGGTGCCTTAAGAGGAAACTGTGCCCCACAAATATGAGCTGTGCGTCTTAGCAGGAGGTTAGCCTTAGTATTCAGGCTTCAACACCTGCAACCCACCCCACTCTCACCCCACTTTATGAGAATTTAGGTGGACTCCGTAAGGTCCCTGAGCTCTGTGGGGAATTGTATTTATGCAAAAATAATTGCGATTCATAAGTTTGCAAGAACTTTAAATGAAAGTAGGTGATTTCATCATTTGAAAGGCATCCCATGATATATAGGACATCCCATAATACATAATTGTGGACTTAATATGTGTATTTAAGGCTCTGAAGGTTATTTGTTTGGAAGGGGGAGTAGGAGGAGCTGTCCTCCATGCACCTGTAGGAAGGGCCCTCAGCTGGAGCAGGAAGCTGATTTATGTGAGAGGAAGGAGTTCCAGAGGCCTTTCCAAGGTCTCCGGGTGTCTGTGCTCCTCCCGCAGTCTGGGCCCCAGGTGCGCCCCGAGTTCCCAGCCCCAAGTGCGGGAATCCCGGGAGTGTCACCTCCCCACTTCATTCCGCAGGGGGCTGAATCTCTGTGGGAAGCTTTCTTGGGATCCTGTGGCCCCACCCCGTCTCCATCCAGGCCCTCACAGTCCCGGCTTGCAGGGGCATCCTGCGATCTAGGCGGAAAACTGGAGCCAGACTCACCTTCAGGTGGATGGGGAAGGACCGCTCCTGCTGGAGGGGGCCCAGCAGCGTCTGCTCCACGCTGACCAGCTCCGAGGTCGAGTCCACCACGCGGGCCAGCGCACTACGCATCGCTATCCGGGCCAGGGTGCAGGGCCCGCGGCCCCTTGGGAAGGGCAGCAGCTGCGCGCCCCCCTCTGCACCTCGCACCACCTCTACCTCGGGGGAGCTCGCCCCGGACCCCTCATTCCAGGACCCCCTGCCCCCGCCGCCCTCCTCACGCCCAAGCCCGGGCCGGGCCGGCCACGGGCCTGAGCGACAAACTGAGGCGGCAGACACAAGATCCGGGTCCTGCGGGCTCCTGGGCGCGCCCGGACCGTCACCCCAGCCCCACTCCTGCTGCAGCAGCTGCAGGGTTTGCAAAGCCACCATTTGGTGGCTGATGGAGGCAACTAAGGGCGCGGGGCTGGCCATCGCCTCCGCCGCGGCTCTGTGCGCTCCGCAGGCAGATGAAGGAGCAAGCGAGGGAGGCGGGGGCGTTTGGGGTCGCCAGGGTCACGCTTCCTAACCCGCAACTCCTGGGTCTCCTTGCCTCTTGCCTTGTGGGGCCTGTTCCACCCCTGACCCGCAGTCTGTGACCCCCGCTGGCGCCTGCATTCGCTTCAAGTCTGAAGCTTCTTGTTCCGACCCAAGGCTGCTAGAAGCGCTGCTCCGTGTGCACTTGAAGATCAGCCAAATGCTGAGCTCTGGTTCTTCAACCCCTCCAGGGTTTTGCCAGGAAAAGGTGCCGCTTTGTGCGGATGCATCGATTCACGGTATTACCCCGCCCCTATCTCTTTGAAGGATTCTGCCAGTGACCATTCACGCCCTGGGGGATGGGAAGAGGGCATGTAAAAGACCCACCCTGGAGTGAAACTGTGAAGAACCTGAGAAAAGCTCACAGAGGAAGACTGTACCTGATCCTCCTCCCTGCCTTTCTCAGCCCTAGGGGAATTTTCAGGAACTTCATGGAAAAGCCTTCAAGGCCTGGAGTACCCCAAACAAAAGGTGACTTGTGTATCTCCAAGTTCTGCAGTTCTCTGCTTTGCCCCGTGCCACATGTGCTCAGGAGACCCTGACAGAGGAAGTAGCATCAGGGCACAGCCCATGAGGCCTGCTCCTGAAGTGACTGGGGAAGCGTGGGCCAGGTACTGCCCAGATAAGGAACCTAAATGGTTTTGTGTGAAACTCCCAAACGACTTAGGCAGCAAAGTTTGAAGCTAAATCCTTTTACGAGCCATGAACCCAGGGACAGCTGTACAAATAGCTGTCGGTTTTAATTAAACCTAACTCCACTACTTCCTTGATTTAGGAAAAGGGACTGGCAAATTATGCTTTGATAGATAGGAAACCATCGGTTTGTAATTCATTACACTTTTAAAAAGAAAGGACATTCGAGGGAAGGGTATAAAGGACTGTCCCAGACAGCATCCTTTCCACTTCCTTCCTGTGTGGGGCACCATTTAGATAACCTAACAACCCACTAAAGCAGGAGACAAGGGTGCAGGCCCAGGACAGGCAAGTGGACCCTAGCAGACCCACAGGATGGGATTTCATTCTTTAGAAGGGAGAGCCTACCCTTGGTGCTGTGGGGTGAGATCCAGCGAGGCCCTTGCTTGCATGGGAAAGCTGGTCCAGTAACTTTTAGTCTAGAATGGCGGTCAGGGGAAATATGGGGAGGAGTTTAGGGTCCTTTAAGGTTTCTTTAACTCTGGGATAGTATGACCCCACATAATCCTCCCAACTCTCCAGTGACAGTTCCTTCTCCTTCTCAGTGTTTTCTTCGCCTATGAAAACAAATCTGAATGCCAAGGTAAAGAAAACCTTTCTTAAACAAAAACAAGTATGTTCACACTAATTATAAGTAAGTAAAAATGCATGTCTGTACATTGACAGAGAGGAAATTACTTTGGAGGGAAGTAAATAATTTAATGTTGATTAGATTCTCTTGCCATGAAGTTACTTAAGTTCGTTAAAATTATAGAGAAATTTTTTCTGTGTGTGTGTGTGTGTGTGTGTGTGTGTGTGTGTGTGTGTTTTATCCTCAAATGTTGAAATACATTAGGTTCAGCAAAGACTAACCAGGAATAGCAAAAACTAACCCCTAATTTTCACAGAGCATGTCAGATCTCCAGGGGTGCTCCTCTTTCCAGATATGCAGGAAATCCAGTTTCATGGGCTAACTCTTCTACTATCGAATGGCTGACTGCAAAACCTTCTTGACAGATGGAATTTCAGCCAACAACAGAATTGAAAGCACTAGACACAGCCTGACCTGAGGCCCCAGTGTTCTAATTACCAGGCTGACTCTGAGAGCCATGAGACCAACTGAAGTTAAGAGGTATGAGAGAAGCGGGCCAGAAAAATATGGGGCCTGTGGGATGGTACATGTAGCTTAAATAGCTGCCTGAGTTTTCCAGTATCCTTTAGATAGCACTGGATTATCCAACAACTCAACACTTTGTCTGTCTTGGCCATGGACCACCCTTTCTTTTGCCATGACCTTGAAATAGCTGATTTTTCCAAAGCTGAAGATATGAGCCCCTAACTGAGGAAAAGTATTCATAGTCAATAGCACAGCAGATCTATCTTTGATCTAAAACACCTCCCAAGTTATATATTCTGTAAGTATATTATATATACTTACAACTCCCTACTCACTATACTGACAATTTCAGGCCACTGTGTAATAAAAGACTTATTCAAAAGGACGAAGTACTGGACACATGATTTTTTTGCTTCACAGTATTGATTTCACTACTTTATGGAAACCATACCCTCATTTTCCAGGAGATATTCCTCCTCCATGCACGGTGCATATAGTCAGATGGGATAGACCCTTCCCTCTGCAGAAGTGGCCTGGGGCATTAAGGCTGAGGCCAATCACACACCACGTTCCCATTGTGATTGGTCAGGAATGAATGCATGACCCCATTAGAGCCAATATGACAATACCATTTAAGGGTGATATCATTTAGGACAATATCATTTCAGCTGAATGTACCAAATAAGAGAAAACAATGGAGCTAGAAGAAAATGTAGGATAAAAGATGAAACATCTCAAAAGATAAATTCCCTTTTAACATAAAAACATAAAATAGTTTAATCAATAAGAATAAGTTATTATCTCAGATCACAAGTCCTAGGGCAGGATGGCTCCAGTGTTGATTAATCTGCTGGAGTGTCAGATCTCCAGGAGTGCTTATAGATATGAAACTGAGAAGGTATATAAGTTCTGGAGCTTCTGCAACCATCTTGTGGGTCTGGGGAAAGGATGCCTATGAATGAGCCAACACTAAAGAGAGAAAAGTCAAGAGATCTATAGAGAGAAACCAGTGGCCTTATAATACCATCAGAGCCCCACATTTAGCTACACAAGATGATAGACCCACCTCTGAGCTTTTCATTTGTATAATATAAGCCACTAAGATCTCTTTTTGCTTGAGCCATTTTGGATTGAGTTTACTGCCTCTTACAACGGTAAATCACAACTGAAGCAAACTACTTGAGATAAAATGTTAATAGAATGACCCAGTGACCCAATACCCCTCAGGCAAGACACTGCTAAAAGGTCCTTCCAACTGTTTCCAGCAATGCCTTTGTCATTCACCTAATCTTGCTACCACTTCAGCAATCGAGGGAAAGCTGTTTTGAGCAAATCTGGTCTTTGCTGACAATTGATGGGAGCATTAGAAAATGAGCAATGGAAACATTCATGACCCTGTGGGATGGAAAAGGGAGGAGGGTAGAAAACTCAGTGAAGTGGGAAGCAATTTTCTGCTTGTTAATGGACAAGGTAGTGTTGTTAGATAAACAAGGATTCTGTTGCTTCAATTAACCCAAAGGTTCTTTTCTGACATAAACAAAAGATATAAATTCTTGTGTGGAGTCATGAAGAAGCTGGGCCCAGTAAGAACAGAAAGGAGCTGGCAGAAGGTGCAGCTCTGTGGAGCCTTCCTCAAAGGACTTGGCAGAGCCCAGATACATTTGAGCCCTCCTTATATACTTTGGCACTTTTCTCCAAAAAGGATCCAAGAGAATTCCAGAAATGGAGCTGTTAACCTTCAACACACCCTCGTGAAGTTCTTAGGTGGGGGCAAAACAAAACATGTCCAAAGAGGCCAAAGAGTTATTATTCTTAAATGAAAATTATGATTGAGGAGAAACAGACGCTGAATAGATAAACCAAGATATGAAAATGTTTTATAAAAGAGAAAACAATGGAACTAGGAAAAGATGGAGGCCCAAAGAAGAAAGAGCAAAAAAGATCGAATTCCTCTTTTAAACATACAATTGTAACATTTGAATATGCCAAGTCATAAAAATGCACATGCAATTCTAACTTTGGCCTAAACATTTGATTTTGAGAAAAGAAAAAGAAAAAAAAGATGCAATCCTGCCACGAAACCTCAGAATGCCAAAAATAATTGTTTACATAGGGCAATGTGTTTTCAGGACATCATATATGCACTGCCTGCCCAGACCCTATTAAGCTGGTGACACTAAGTGAAGCTTAGTAAAACTAAGGAGAAAAATAGGGAAGTGTAGTAAAGGGAGGGGAAAGAGAAGTGAAAAATATTGAATCCCACCTGCCTGTGCTGATATAATCTGACGAGCAATTCACCTCCTCAACACAAAATACCGTTTTTCCTGGACATATAAATAATTTTACTGGGTTTTGTCTCCATAATAAGTTTATTTCCAGGGGGAATTCTGGATGTTAGCAGAGAAAAAAATCAAAAGTTGATATTAAAAGAGTAGATGTAATTTTTCCTAATTATTGTAGCTTTGGTAGATAATTTGTTTTTTAAGAGTGACAGAAAGGCCATGGATTTTCATGCCACCTACATAATTTCAGCAAGAAACCTTGTTAGATTCTCCCCTCTATTTGTGATTACAAAATGTAACTCCTGAAGAATATTCTTTCTCTTTGAGGAAAATTAAAAAGCTGTTTGATTTTTCACACTTCAATTATCTGTGTAGTTATGGCTTGTAATATTGAAATGCGGGGGTGGAGGGAGGGGAACGGGGTACATAATAGTAATAAAAATAGGACAGGAATAAGTGTAGGAAGTGTTTTAATGCAACTATAAGCCAGGATCTTTAATCTTAGTGAAAAAAGTGGGACCACCCTCATCACTTTCCCTGTATGTATTTCCAAGTTCCAGTAGGTACCCTTTTAGTGTGATAGAAATAAATGTTCAACTTGGGTTGATATATTTCAAACTAAAACTAAAACTAAAAAAAAAAAAAGAAAGAAAAAGAAATCTTCCTAGTCCTTTTCCTTGCATTTATCCTCATTTCTTTACACTTTTTTTTTCCTCAAAGGAATTTTCTACATTGTTCCCCAATGTCTCTTCTGTTAGGTTTTATGGTTGAAAAGACATTAGGGTTTTATCCACCCTCTCATTTATTCTTCTCCCTTGGATATTTCCAGAGTTCTCTTTTCTGTGGTAACTGTAATGAAAAAAAGGGGGCAGGGAAGACAGATTGGGGGCACATGGTTCTTTTGTTTAGCTTTTGCTACAAGAACACTATTCCTATGCTTCCAGGAAGTCAAAACTTCCTTACTGGGAGATTCAATAGGTAGGTTGTCAGTCTCCAACTCCTAAACCCTGAGTGCAGCAAGGGAGAACTAAACCAGTTTTGAGAACTGGATTAGTGCCTTCCCACGTTGGCTCTCTGTGCTAGGAAAATAAGAGAGGCCAACAGATCTGCTTGTTTTATTTGTTTGGTCATTTTCATCATTTTTATTTCAAAATATTATTGAGAACGGTCAGAAAAGTTGAAATAAGGTAAAAGCCATTTTAAAAATAAAGATTTGGTAAACATAATTGAAAGGGCCTTCTTTTTTCCTTGGAGGAAAAAGATGTAAAATATTTAAATACTTATGTTTACATAAAAATACAGCATTGCATACTTTAGCATAAAGAATGTCTATTTTTTAATTTTCATCATCTGTTTCTCTTATGGTCCACTGTTGATTAGCAAGAGGGGTTTTATAGATGCTAATCTGACTATAAGAGTCAAATGGTCCATACAAGTGATCAAATTTCAAGTATTTGTTCAAGAAAATCATATGTAAATTTTATTGAGTCTGTGTTTCCCATTTGAAAACTTGAAACTACATTCAGTAGGATCTTTTAATTGCTCTGTTCAAATATCCAAGCTTCTCAGAACCTTAAATAGTATCTTTAATGGACCGTTCCTCGATAATTGTAGATAATCTGTTAACGAAGCACTGAAGGAATTCTCAACATTCTATTCATTTTAGTTGAGAGTATAATCTAATACTTTCTAGGTGAATGTTAATTTTAATACACAATTCTATTTAACAATGACTTATTATTATTTTTTTTAGTTTTAAGTAACTGTTATTCTAAAGTCAGGGTAAAATATAAAGTATATATGATGGGTAAAAAGTACACCTTGAAATCCATATTATTTATCATAATTTATACTATAGTTCAAATTAAACCTTTTTAGCTCCCTTAACTTTCCATGCTAATATTTTAAATTCCTAAATTTAACATTCATAGGAGAAGCAATGCAGTATAGAAGCTAACAGATTGGGCTTTTGTGGATAATAGAAACATCTGCCTAGAGAATCCAAGAAAATCAGCTGAAAAACTATAAGAACAAATGAGAGTTTAATGAGCATTTACCTCATATATATATATATATATATATATATATATATATTCAACATACAAAAACTGATTAGCTTTCCTATGTATCACAATAACTGATAAGAAATATTGGGGGGAAATGGTCCAATTAATAATAATAACAAACCTACAAAATAGCTGGAAATAAACTAACCACAAATATTTTCAAGACTTATGATAAAATCCATATGTAAAACAAAATTACTAAAAGCTATAAAAGATGATGTAAATAAATGGAGAAAAATATTCCCTCTCTGATTGACCAGTCCAAATTTATAAAGCTCTCAATTTTCGCCAAATTAATCTAGAAACTCAATGAAACCCCAATTAAATGTCAATAAGATTCTGATGAAACTAGCAAGCTCATTCTCAAGTTCATCTAGAAGAGAAAGCATCAAAATAGCTAAGAAAATTTTGAAACAACAACAATTGGGAGGGACTTTCTCTACCATATATCAAAATGTACTCTATACCAATTTTAAAAGTGGGATTATGGTATTATAATGGATAACCAGATCAATAGAGAATCAAAAACAGGATATATATAACTAGAAGCTGCTCATGTGGAAAGGGCCTTCCGCTGGAGCAGGAAGTTGATTTATGTGAGAGGGAGACCCACAGGCCTTTGGTAAGGCCTTTCCTGTGTCTCTGTTCCACAGTCAGGCAGCCCCAGGTGGGCCCCAAGTTCTCAGCCTCCAATACCAAGTGTGCATCAGATTTTATATTTGTCGGGGCTGGCCAAGTGGCACGATGGTTAAGAACTGGCTTGGGACACCAGAGGGCCCCGGTTCGGATCCCACATATGAGGGCCAGTGACACTGCCCTCCACAGCTAAGATGCTGAACGGCAGCTCAACCTGGAGCTGGGCTGCCGTG